TTTCCCCAATAAAATGGTGTCACCTTAAAATCACACTTTAAGTACCCTTTAAAAGTACAAAGGAATATAAGTTCATATTGACAATTACACAGCAATATAAATACAAAACGTCTGAGGTCTTGCCCTCAAGCTTAGCAAATTCTCAATTGTCCATAAGCAATATGAACGACTTGACGTAAGTTCCTCACGTCAACAAATCCTACCCCAGCCTTGGACTGTATGGAGTAAAGTTGGTGAAAGCAGGAATTTGAGTGTGTCTCTGTGAAGCTCCACTGATCCTGAAGGTGGTCCTGTTGAGTTATACTGGCTCGCCTCGATCCTCATCTCAGACCCAGGTCAAATCCAGACATGAGGACTTGGTGGTTCCCGGGATGGATAAAAACCTGGCCTGTTGAGCAGGCCAACAATTATCTTATTCAACATAGATATTTTACATTTGGCATAAAGTAATATTTACACTTACTGTTGCCATTTACAAGAAAGCAGAAGCTAATAACTGTTAAGTGTTAATGTATGTTAACCATTTGCAGTTACACAAAATGAAACCTCATTTAAATAGTAGGAATCATTCAGTTCTAAAAACATTTAATGGTATCTATATTATTGAACAGAACTGTGTTATAGAGCATAAAAATAATGTCAGTTACTTTGCTATGTAATAACCAATAAATGCAGTTTATATATGGCACTTTCCACAACCCTGTAAGGGGACCAAAGTGTTTCACATGACAATAAAAACTGATAATAATAAACCAAAGAACATAAAATTAAGATTATGATAATAAATTTGACATAAAACCAAAGGTCAAATGGTGAGAAAGAACAAGTAGCACAAACAAAACAGTTATAAAACACGATAAACATGATAAAACAGGTAGTATAAAAGATGCACTGAAAAGTCTCCTGGAAAAGGGAGGTTTAAAGCTTGTGTCTAAAATGGGACAGATCAGAAGTTAGATGCAGGTCATCAAGGAGTTTGCTTCAGAGTGCAGGAGCTGCCATTGAAAAGGAGTAGTCGCCCCAGTGCTTATATCTTGACTTATATCTTGAGGAAGTTCAAGGAGAGCGTACCTGTTGCCCTAGTGGCCTGTGGATGCTGGCATAGGAACAATGAGTCAGAAAGGTTTGAAGCATGTAATCTGTGGATACTCTTGAACCTGCACAGGTTGATTTTGAATTGTATGTGGGAGAACACAGGGAGCCATTGCAGTTCAGAAAGAATGGGTGAAATCTGGATCTGTCTAGATGTGTTTGTGAGGAATTATGAACTAACTGAAGATGTGCAATGGAGGACTTAGGCCCTGTCCACACGTAGCCGGGGATCTGCCAAAACGTAGATATTTTTCTACGTTTTGGCCTGTCATCCACACAAAAATGGAGTTTTTTCACACGAAAACAGATCTTTTTAAAACCTCCGGCCAAAGTGAAGATCTGCGTTTTCTCCGTTTTGGGTGTCTGCATGTGGACAGACAAAACCGGAGTTTTAAGGTCCGCAACGTCACTTTCCTACAGGTCTGGCATGTCCTTAACAACGTATTTATCCGGGTACGAGTGGACAGAGTTATTTTTTAAAACAAGGTGGTGTGGATGCAAGTTTTTGGAGGGGCGGATATTCGTTTAAAAAAACCCGGCTACGTGTGGACTAGGCCTTAGACACATCAAATGTACAAGGCATTACAGTAATCAAGACGTGAACTAACAAAAAATGGATGACTTTTTCTGGGTCTGAATAATTTAGAAATTTTTTCAGCCTTGGTCCTGCCCCTAGTTGATAAAAACTTGTCTGGACCACTGCATTGATGTACCTGTGAAAAAAAAAAAAAAAAAAAAAAAAATATATATATATATATATATATATATTTTTTTTTTTTTTTTTTTTGTCAAATATGACACAGAGGTTTCTGACACATGGCTTACATTTGAAGGCCAAATTACCAAGATCAGGTGCACAAACACCAGGATGGTTTGGAGAAGTGAAGACTATGAACTCTGTTTTGTCATCAATTAACATCAAGAAGTTGTCTTCAGAGCCACAGCTGGAGGTCATTGAGGGAGATCAGCAGAGATGTTGTAGTAGTGTTGGAATTTGAACTTGTTGGTAGATACATCTGCACATCGTCATCATAGCAGTGAAAGCTAGGGTTATTTAGTTTGTATTCTACCTAGAGGTAGCATTTACAATGAGAAGACCAGCAGGCCCAGAACAGATCCATGGGAAAACCACTGTAGAAAGGGGCTGGCAGAGAAAGAGCATCAGCAAGCTTTATCTTTATGTTTATGTATTTAGCAGATATTTAACCGTTAATGAAGCCAGCAGGTTGTCCTTGAGGCTAACAAACCCTAATCAGTCAGTCCTAGTGGCAGTAAGGCAGCATAATGAATCATAGAGGGAAGTGAACAAGGAGTGTGTAGTAGAGTGAGGGACGGGAACAGGGCGGGTGCTAGTTCAGAAGATGCTCTCTGAAGAGCTGGGTCTTCAGAAGTTTCTTAAAAATTGACACGGTCGCCCCTGTTCTGTTAGTGCTTGGTGGATCATTCCATATCTGGGGAACGAGACATGAAACGAGTCTGGATTATCCTGAGCGTGGTGTAGGCACTGCTAGCCGGCGATCCTTTGATGACCGGAGTGGCCGAACCGTGATGAAAGCCTTTACAAGAGGATTCAGGTATCCAGGATTTTGTATTCTAGTGTTAGCGCTTTGAATTTGATGCATGCAGCTAACTACAACCAATGGAGCTCAGTGAACAGAGGCCTCACAGGTGCTCTTTTAGGCTGGTTGAAGACCAGATGAGTTGCTGCATTCTGGACCATTTGAAGAGGTTTCACAGTACAGGCTGGAAGACTAGTTATTGCAGTAGTTGAGGCGGGAGATGACAATAGATTACACCAAGAGCTGTGCTAGGTATGGTCTGATCTTTCATGTGCTATACAGAGTGAAGCAGCATGAATGAGTGACAAAGGCAACATGATCATTAAAGGGGCATTATGGAAGTTTGACAGCCAAAACATGTATAGAAATAATAAATTTCTTCATACATTCTCCTGCAATGCCCTGGTCCTGTAGAATGAGCCCTGACATTTTTACTGTGATTGCCTGTTTTTCTGTAAAATCACAGAAAAAGAGAGCTGCTCGGGTCAAGCAGGCTGCTTCATGTGCGTTCACGCATCGCCCGTAGCATTTGCTATCAGTAGCTTTAGCAGCAGAGAGTGAGGTAGTGCCAACTCAGCGATTTTGTCGCTGTTCCTAATGCCTAGTGATGAACCTAGCTACATTTCTGAGGACCCTTAGCTACTTTCATCTAAATATTTCCTGCAAATTAGCAACAAAATAGTCATTTTCGCTCCGAACCATTCTTTGAACATTCTTTCAGCTGTCATCAAGGATATAAATATTACAGGTACAAAATATGTCACTGGAGTTTTAGCTCATCTAGTAAGACGATGGACTCTCATGCAGGAGACCCGGATTCGATTCTCGAAGTGAACATAGTTTGTGTAGAGTTTATTTTTTACATTAATGATATATTTTTTTTACAGTAAGATGCCCAAATTTTTATTTGAGACTCGCAGAACGGCATTGAATTCACAGATAAAAAAGATGTGGGTTCAACTTTCATTTTGGAACAATTTTTCAAGCAAGGGACGGGCTGTGCTGAAGAGACAGGTACAGAACCAAATTATTTAATTAATTAGCTGCGCGTTCTCCTGTCCTCTGTCCTCCGGGCCACCCACACACACACACACACACACACACACACACACACACACACACACACAAGGGACTGTCTCAGCTGTTATTTTCATTACGGAGTGTGCACGTACAGCATGCGCACCTCGTGCACGAGCCTACTATTGAAGCTGCCGTTACGCTTTTGGCCTGAGGGGGCAATCGCGAGCATAAAAATTCAAAACTCCGTAAAGTCCCTTTAAGTTAGCAGGTCGTCAATAACAACACTCAGATTTCAAACTGCATTTGAATGAGAAAGGAAATCATTTAGGATTGAGATATTGTGCCATATGGATGGTTTCACTGGGATGACAAGTAATTCAGTTTTAGAGAGGTTGAATTGGAGATGATAAGATTTCATCTATCTTGACGCCGAGATAGTTCAAGGAGGCGAACCATTTCAGGACTGTGCCACAAAACCTACAGTTTCCAAGGCGTGAAACGAGGATCCTGTGATCAAAGTTAGTAGAGAGGTCTAGCATGACTTGTACAAATGGCTGCCTATCATCCACGGCTCTAGTAATGTCATGGTGAGTCATTGTGAGCCTTCAGGAGAGCCATTTCAGTGTTGTGCCATGATGTAAAACTAGATTGGAAGGTTTAATTACTAATTACTTTACAATGTAGTAACTGAGGTAATGACTCAATTGCTTTTGGAAAAAGTAATTTGTAACTATTACTAATTACATTTTAATGTAAGATGCCCAACACTGTTTCAAGGTACTGAACCAGAGCACCATCAGAAATAGTTATTTTTTAGAGGAATTTCCAAAAATGGAAAACTTTTATTTTTATTATTATTATTATTATTATTATTATTATTATTATTAGTTTTATATGCACAAAATGAAATGATCAAAGTCATAAAGTCTTTTGTCAGCCAGCATATGGCCAGGGTTGACTAGTGGACATTTAATTATTTATAGACTCAGACATTTGCCACAGATTGTTTGAGGCCAGATTGAACCTTTGCTGTATATAAATCGCCAGAACAGACTCCAAATCAAGAAATTACACACTATCAGGAAAATGAAAAGGATGCATTAATGTCAGAATGTTGTTTCTAGTGTGAGCGGCAAACATTCTGGGTTCATTCACTCTGCTTGAGAGCTTTTTATCAAACGATTATTCACATCACGCTTTAATCTAGCTTGAATCTAACCTAAGGCGATTAAAACTATTGATGACGGTTTAAAATAGCAATCAGCAGCTAGACCAGAGTTCTAAAAGCATTTATCGACAGCATTGTAAATGATCATTTTCTATTTACAGGATTCAGAGGTGTAGAAATGTGGAACCCGAACACCCCTTTGAGTGAGGACTGCCTGTACCTAAATGTTTGGTCACCAGTTTTCAACAAAACCTCACCAGCTGCTGCTGTTCTTGTTTGGATTTTTGGTGGCGGCTTTTCCGTCGGAACATCATCCCTGGACATTTACAATGGCAGCATCCTTAGTAAATCTGAGGGTGTTGTTGTGGTGTCAATGAATTACAGGTCAGAAATTTTCTAACATGAAAATATAAAATAACTATTTCACGCATTGTGGTTTTCACTAAAACTGTAAACCAGTCCGCAATCTGTAAAAGATTGGTGAGTATACATTCCACGCTAAACTCTTTCTACCACACAGGTGAACCTTTGGAGGTCACCACACTAAGGTGAAGTTTAAGGACAGCAGCTATATCATAACTTATCATTGTACAATAACAAGCGTATACGATACTACACCACCTTGCGATGGTATCGTGGATTTATCAGGCCTGCCAATCACATTTTGACTACATGAAATGTATTATGATATAATTCACCATTAAAAGTCTTTAGCTTTTTAACAGAGACATTTCGACGTGGATCATGTTTGCACCACTAGGGTCCAGCTGGGAGGGCTCATCTTCTTTCTTTTCCAAAGTTCCATCAGTGTTGCTACCAGGAAACAGGTTTTCCAAGCTGAAAATTGAGATTCACTACCTGTCAGTGGATAACATGGGTGTGTCCAAATTCAGAGGCTGCATCTTTCATCGACCATATTTAAAGGAAGCTCAACAACGACGGCTGATGACTCCTTCAAACGTAACCAACAAATCCAGCCCTCTCTCTTTCCCCCAATATAAAGGATGGATCCGGTGTGTTCTTCACAGCTAACCGCATCAAGATTTCTTGTGGGTCAATTAGGAGATTTGTCTAACAATAACAAAATAAATTTAAAATTTTTATTCTAAGTATAACTTTAAAATAGTAAGGTTTAATATTTTAGTAATTTAAAGGTGGACTATGGAACACGGAGACCAAAGTGTCATCTAGTGGTAGTAGGTTGTTTTTGCAACAACAGAGCTAGGTCTCCAGACGTCGGGATGCCAGGTTTGCTGCCGATGCATGACGTGACCAACCAGCACCATGTTTAGTGACGAATCGTACAGGGTAAGGACTCATTTCTACTAATAAGTGTATTTTACTACATCATTTAACTTGTATTATTCTTAGTCTTTCAATTATACATTAGATGAGTAAAATTTCTGAAAGTGTTACTTTGGGTTACTAGCGTTAGCCTGCTATCATTCACTCTTTTACGTAGCTAACTGATGCTACATGTAGTTATGCATTCTTCAACTGGAAGTCTTTATATTATTTTTATTTTTTAATGACAAGACATCTGGGGCTCAACTAAAACTGGATTTATGGTGTCTGTACCCTGATGATGGTGACCGAAGCAGCAGCTTCCACAACAGTAGCAGTGAGGCGGAAGGCAGGTGGAGAGCTGAGGAGGAGACTGAGGTTTGCACAAAGTTAGCTGTTAGGCTGTGTTCTAAAACTATTGAAGAAAAAGCAATTGTTTGTCTTTCATTATTGTGAAATTGTTTCAGGGTTGACCCTCGACTACATCACTGACCATATTTATAAGTTTAGTGTGCTAATATATAGTAATAATTCTTTCTTGGGTTTATAAAGAACTTTTCACACAATGATAAACTAAAATGTGGTAATTTACACATATTGTGTAGCAGTTTGTGCAATGTAAAAAAAAAAAGCACACCATTAAATGTACATTTATATAAAATGTATATATTATTCTCGTCTTTTTGAAATTAACCCACTATGGACACCAGTATGGGTGGGCCAGAGGCCAGGCAACATGCAGCAAGAGGAAGAGGAGAAAGTAGCAGAGGTAGAAGAGGCAGGAGAGGAGGAGCTGCAGGACAAAGAGGCAGAGTTTCAGGGCGAGGTGGATGGGGCAGAGCTGTAAACACAGGTGATATTAGTAGACCTGCAGTAGGAAGGGGCACAGCTAGATCAGGAAGTACGTGTGTGAATGTTATTATTCACTGCGTAAATTATGCTTTTATTATTGTTTTGAACTGTGAGCATAATTGGAATAATCTTGAATCCATTCAGGATGGAGGATGCAGCCGAACGCAGAGGAGCAGAGTGTCAGCTATGTTGGAAGAGAGAAGGCTTGAGACAGAGGTTAGTATAAAGCTATCAGTAAAAAATGTTACTATAAAATGTATATTTTTGGGTTTATACATGTTTATACATGTAGAGGTTAAATATTGTTGCTTTTAAGCTTAATATATTACCTTGACTCATGACCAATAAGATGTGATATTCTATATAAATATAGAATATAAACCTGCTTGGTCTTTGGATGTTTAATCAGAAGATTCTAGGACTCTTTGCCTTTTCAGGGACCAAACACACTTCGTATTAATGCAGACAGTCAGGTTTATAAAAGGCAAGAAATGAATTTTCTAAACAATTAAAAACATGACAACTAGGGAACACTTTATGTGATGACTGGCTGTAAGTGGATGGAATGTGAGGTGTGGTTATGTGTGAATGTGATGTTGTCAGAACCTTCGCAGCAAGAAGAAAATGAGTTCTGAGTGTTAAAAGAATTTGGTCTGCAGTAACTAGAAGGTTGATTCTCATCAAAACCACATCAGATGCAATTCATGCTGTGTCTACCTCACCCTTTCTGGAGACACTTCGCGGATTCGGAGGTCAGGAAGGTCAGATGACCTCTGGGCACAGAGGTTCAGTAGATTAACCGCAGCACCGACTCTCCAGTCCAGAGATGTTTCCAGGCAAAACAGGTTGGAACTAGTTTGCGTCTAGATGGACTCTTAGGGAGTCAGAACTGTATCAGCTTCATTCTGCAGGAACTGTTTGCTGTGTCAGCTTCAGCGTGTAGCAGGTTTTTGACAGCTTGTCAAAAGATGCTCTGGGTTAAAGAGGTTTTTGCTCCGTATGGCCGGTCCGTAGCTTTCTCTAGAACCGAATCACTCAGGAAGTGACCTTAGTTTTATTAAAGGTTTTACCAAACAAACCTCTGAACACACCTCCTTCAGATAAAAGAGCTCTGATTTGTGGATAAGAAATTCATATGTGTCATGACGTTTAACTTAACCTTACGTCAGGAAGATATGCACATTTGTGTGAGTGTAGATCATGATTACTTTGTCATATCAAACATTACTGATCATCATATATGAATCTTTCAGTGTGATAATATTCATTTCAACTTCAGTAATTCAAGCCCAGATTAATCAACTTTATTAATTTAAGCACAGATTAATCAAAACATTATTATTATTCATCAACCATTATTGTTCATTCAACCATATGATTATTTACTATTATAACGGTTCAGTCCTTTATTCTGTGCAGGACAGCCTAGATGTGTGTGTGTGTGTGTGTGTGTGTGCGTGCGTGCGTGCGCACGCGTGTGTGTGTGTGTGTGTGTGTGTGTGTGTGTGTGTGTGTGTGTGTGTGTGTGTGTGTGTGTTCGTGTGTGTGTGTGTGTGTGTGTGTGTGTGTGCTCTGTCTTCTCGATCCCCAGTGAGTCGTGGAGGATGGCTGCTTATACTGAGCCAGGATCCTCTGGAGGTTTCTTCCTGTTGAAAGGGAGTTTTCCTCTCCACTGTCGGTATATGCTTGCTTAGTATGAGGAATGCTGTGAAGTCTCAGACACTAGTCAGTGACTTGATGCAATTTGCTGGGTTCCTTATATAGGAAACATTATTTCTGATTGGCTTAATGAACTGACCTGAATTGGAATGTTTAGTATGTGAAGTGCCTTGAGATGACTCTTGTCATGATTTGGCGCTGTATAAATAAAATTGAATTGAATTGAATTGAATAAGCAGACAGGCTTGGCAGAGAAGAACCTTGAGAAGGGAACATGATGTTGAAAATCTGAGTGTAAACACGTTGTCGTCGTAGTCATCTTCCTCCACTTATCCGGGCCCGGGTCGCGGGGGCAGCATCCCAACTAGGGAGCTCCAGACCGTCTTCTCCCCGGCCACCTCCACCAGCTCCTCCAGCAGGACCCCAAGGCGTTCCCGGACCAGATTGGAGATGTAACCTCTCCAACGTGTCCTGGGTCGACCGGGGGGCCTCCTGCCGGCAGGACATGCCCGAAACACCTCCACAGGGAGGCATCCAGGAGGCAACCTGACCAGATGCCCAAACCACCTCAACTGACTCCTTTCGATTCGGAGGAGCAGCAGTTCTACTCCGAGTCCCTCCCGAATGTCCAAGCTCCTCACCCTATCTCTAAGGCTGAGCCCGGCCACCCTACGGAGAAAACTCATTTCGGCCGCTGGTATCCGCAATCTCGTTCTTTCAGTCATTACCCAAAGCTCATGACCATAGGTGAGGATTGGGACGTAGATCGACTGGTAAATCGAGAGCCTGGCTTTCTGGCTCAGCTCCCTCTTCACCAGGACAGATCGGCTCAGCGTCCGCATCACTGCAGATGCTGAACCAATCCGCCTGTCGATCTCCCGATCCCTCCTACCCTCACTCGTGAACAAGACCCCGAGATACTTAAACTCCTCCACTTGAGAAAGGACCTCTCTCCCGACCCGGGGTTTGGCAAGCCACCCTTTTCTGGTCGAGAACCATGGTCTCAGATTTGGAGGTGCTGATGCTCATCCCAGCCGTGAACCTACCCAGCAAGAGCTGAAGGTCAGAGCTGGATGAAGCTAGGAGGACCACATCATCCGCAAAAAGCAGAGACGAGATTCTCCTGCCAGCAAACTCGACACACTCCACACCACGACTGCGCCTAGAAATTCTGTCCATAAAGGTAATGAACAGAACCGGTGACAAAGGGCAGCCCTGGCGGAGTCCAACCCTCACTGGGAACAGGTCCGACTTACTACCGCAGTGTCGAATCTTTTCCTGCAGCTTGGAAGATTAAGAGATGCACAGAGGCAGATCCGTGTCTGTAGATGACAGGTGGCATGTACTGTAAGTTAATCTGTAGGTGAAAACTGACCATTCATGGATGTTACATTAAAAAAAATTATTATACTTCCATCATTTTCTAAAGGCAGTCAAATACTGTGCAGGAATAGCGACAGCTTCACCAAGTCAGTTATGTTATGAATACCAGCATATCAAGTGGACTACTAATTAATGATATCCGTGACCACTTGCCAATTTTTATATCTCTAGAATACAGCACAAACAGAAAATAGAAGCAATACTATAAGAAAGAAAATAAGACTGAGATCTGAACTTTCAATAAGGGCTCTTAAAAAAAGCCTTTCGGAACAAAACTGGAACAATGTTCTTGGAGACAATAATGTAAATGAAGCGTATAAAAACTTTGTTGACACAAGAACTATATGACAAACATTGTCCAGCTAAAACCTGTACATATACACATCTAAAAAGAATTAGTCCATGGATGACAAAATGGTTATTGGAAGCATGTAAAAAGAAAAATACCTTGTATAAAAACATATGAGGAAGAGAACATTTGAATCGGAAACCAAATATAGAAAATATTAAAATCAATTAATAAATATAATAAAACAATGGAAAAATAATTATTACAGAATGTTGATTGAAAGAAATAAAAATAACCTGAATGGACTATGGACTGTGTTAAATCAAGCCATTAATAAGGATTTTAACAGAGCTGTTTCCCAAGATTATATAATTGACAGTGAAAAAAACAACAAACATGAACACTATTGTTAATACCTTTAATGACTATTTTGTCAACATCGGACAACAACTTGCCTCTAAAATATCAAAATCAAATAATGACGTTGACAGTACGAATAGATATAATAATGCACACTCTATTTCTATCACCAACAAATGAAAATGAAATCATCAAAATAGTTAATACTTGTAAAAATAAAAAGTCTACTGATTGCGATGATCTTGACATGACTATACTAAAACAGGTAATACTTAATATGGCAACACCTTTAACCCATATCTGCAAATTATCTTTTATAAGCGGAGAGTTTCCCAAACTGATGAAAACAGCAAAAGTCACTCCAATCTATAAAAGGGGAGAAAAACATCAGATCACTAACTATCGGCCGATCTCTATACTTCCTCAGTTATCAAAGGTAATGTAAAAACTGTATGTGGAATGCATGAATGGTTTAAATTGAAAAATACAACTTACTCAGTAATAGTCAATATGGATTTAGACTAAACTGATCAACTGCTCTTGCATTGATAGATCTCATAGAAGAAGTAACCGAAAAAATGGATCGTAAAATGTATTCTATTGGCATATTTATAGACCTCCAAAAGGCCTTTGATACAGTAGACCATGAAATACTTTAAAATAAATTACAACAAAATGGGATTAGGGGCATTGCATATCACTGGGTGAAATCTTACTTAACTGGCAGACAGCAATACGTACAGATAAATGATCACAGGACAAGACTCAGAAATACAACCTGTGGAGTCCCTCAAGGTTCAGTCTTAGGACCAATACTGTTTATTCTATATATAAATGATACATGCAGGGTATTATCAAGACTCAAAATCATCTTATTTGCTGATGACACTACAATAGTATGTACAGGTAAAGATCTACAGTTACTTGTGACAGAGATGACAGCAGAATTAGAAAAACTTAAAGACTGGTTTAACAAAAACAAATTATCTTTAAATATTCAAAAACAAAAATGATGCTGTTTGGTAAACAAACTAAAGACATTGAAATCAGAATCAAAATGAACAACAATGAAATAGAAAAGGCATACAAGTATCAATTTCTGGGAGTGATACTTACTCACAATATCACCTGGAGATCTCATATACATAGCATACAAAAGAAATAGGCAAAGGACATTGCAATTATGAGAAAATGTAAATTCCTTCTGGACCACAAAGTCTACTAATCTTGTATTATGCATTTATTCACCCCTATCTTAGTTACTACACAGAGGTCTGGGGTAATACCTACAGTGGCCATTTGGAGGCAGTATTTAGACTTTTAAAAAAAGCTATTAGGATTGTACATACCGTAAATCCTCTAATACAGGCCCGGGCCTGTATTTGACTCAAGCTCATCAAGCTCCAGGCCTTTATTGGAAGGAGGACCAGAATTAGAGGCAGGCCTCAATTTCTATTTGAGCAAATTGATAATGGTTCACTGGAGTTTTTGACAATTAAAATTGCGCCTACATTTTCAAAGTTAAACACATTTCTTTTAACAACGGTAGTTTCTGCTTCAGCCCTCTCCCCCCTCCCCCTGCGCAGCGGCCGCAAACTCACTAATGCGCCTGCAGCCTCTCGGAGTTCCTGCTGCTCTAAACATTAAAATAATTATTTCATTTTCTGTTCCTCACTTCTGATAACCTTCAAAGGTGTCTGTTTGTTGCAACCACCAGGTACAAAAACTAACTTGTTTTTATTTGACTATTTTTCTGTCCTGTCTGTTTATTATCTTCCTGTAGGGCTGCTCAATTAATCGAATTTTAATCACGATTACCATCTGAGTTTTGAACGATTATAAAAAAACAAAACAAGCCGATTATTTGCTCCTCCCACTTGCGCTGCCCTGAGTAGCAAATGAAGCGCTCCTTACAGTGTTGCCAACTTGGCGACTTTGACGCTATTTCCAACAGCTTTTCAGACCCCCTTCTTGACTTTTTCACTTAAAAGTACCTAGCGAACACCTCAGAAACATCTCTGGTAACCCTTAGCTACGTTCTGGATAACTGTCGTCGACATTTCCTGCAGGTTAGCTAAACACTCTGCCTGCGCTCCGGACCGTTCTTCAGGACATTAGGAAAGGGAATGATGTAGTGATGTGTCGGTCACTAAAGAAACAGCTCTCGGAGCCGGCTCCATGTTGGATTAACCAGAGTGAGTGACACATACACCGCACCTGCAGACTTCTGAGCCGCTAAAAACGGCTAAATGTGCGCGTGCTAAACACATGTGCAGCTTGCCCCGTTTGCTGTGAGAGCAGGTTGGGGGGGTGGGGGGTGCAGCTGTGGTTGGGACAATTGTTACATTAACTGATGTAAATAAATAGTTTATAAATAAGGTAGAAATAACTTCCTCACGCTGATAAATAATAACGAATCTCTCTGAGGACACAGTGCTAGTGCACTCTCCTACAGCACCCTGACACGACTTCAATAAATGTTATGCAACATTTTGTGAACATCAATTTATTTGCGTTTATTTGTTATAAATGCCACTGTATAATTCTTGCTGTCAGTATTTGCAAGATATTGGTATTTGGGTCTGTACTGGTTAGACTTAAATGAGTTAAACCAAGGTCTATAGCCCTTGGGTCATAGACTATGAGCTATAAGTATATTGGTCTTTTTATACTGGGAATCAGGAGTTATTTTAGTGATCATCTTGTTTCTTATTTATTTTTGTCCTGATTGCAAGTGGTGCTCGCTGCAGAACCACAAAGGCGGAGCTGCACCAGAAGGTGGAGATGCACCAGAGTCAGCCCCGCCCATTCCAGAATCAGCCCCGCCCATTCCATCAGAGTCAGTCCAATTCCTTCCAGTTGTCAGACTTGATAGCATTCTGGAATCAAAGAGGGTGTTATAGCTAAAAAATGCAAGATTGAGGACGGAGTTGAGAAGTTAATTGAACAGTTTTTGTAAAGGTTCCATATAATTAAAAATCTAACTTTTGGAACTTTTAATCATGTTATATTGTCATTTCCTCATAAGAAACACGCCAAAGCCATTTTTAGTCTTATTCATGTATTTTCCTCCCATCTCAGCTTCAATTTGGTCTCCTCCCCCGAAGCGGGTCTAGTCTTGGTTCTCAAATCTGGATATTCTGTGAATTTTCTGACAAATTATTTCTGAAATGACTTCTACTGAGACATCGCCAATAAACCATACATTCCATCTCAGAGACACACTGGGCAGCACAATTAGATGTAACGCCACATGAGGAATAACAGATGTGGTGGTGTAGTGGTTATGGAATCAGGTTGACATGCAGTTTTGCGCAGGTTCGCCTCCCATTAGTGTAAGTTTTAGGTAGTGTGCAACCTCTTTTCTTCATTTCTAGCTACACTTGCCAGTACTATGTTTACAACAATTAACTGGTATACCGTTTAACATATAATGACTAATGCGTTTTTTTATTTATTTATTCGTTTATTTAGCCAGTGTGAGTCCATTTGTGAGCAGAGTTTCAACTAAAATGCTGTTTAGGAACGACCAAATTCAAAGAACTTTTAGAGACATAAATATTTTGCTGAAAATAAACATTACAACTAAAATATAAACAAATTAAATGTTTCAGCTGGCTAAATAGATTGCTGACGACCCCACCGAGAATCGAACCAGCATCAGCTGAGGGGAAAGCAAAATTCAACTCCGACGATCTCGCTACTAGGCTACCAAAGCCCGTTTGAAAGTCTGACATGCTGTTATACAGCATTTCTGTTAGACCAGCTGTGGGCAGATATTCGCTAAAAGAAACCTTTTTCATTTTGAGATATATTCAGTCTTTGTCATGTAGCAAGTTATATTTATCTTGTTTAATTGGAGCATAGAACATAGCATTAACGACTGTAAACTAGTAACAGCCGTAATTCAGGTGGGTCAGGTCAGTTTGCGATAAAGTTGAAAACAAAAACCGAAGTCAGTGGGTAAGCTGAGTTTGCGTGAATGGGCGGGGCTGACTCTGGTGCAGCTCCACCTTATGGGGCAGCTCCGCCTTTGTGGTTCTGCAGCGAGCACCCTCTCCCTGATTGTGCCCTGAGCAATTTTATGACTGAATAAAAACAAATAAAATCAACATAAATAGAAAAATCGTCCTAAATAGTTGTGATCTCAATTTCAGTCACCATAATCGTGATTATTATTTTTGCCATAATCGAGCAGCCCTATCTTCCTGCATCTCCTCTCAATCCTAAAGAAAAACTGCTACCTGGGTTCATATATATTGACCTCATGAGTTACCTTTGAACTGCAGTTCTAAAAGACCTACCGGCCGCAAAAACAGCGGAGTGCTCGCTGCTTGGCGGCCGCATCAGTGATCGGTGCGTCACCGGAGGACAAGGTGATGCGCCCCGCTCCACAGCAGCGAAACGCATCAGGCGCAAATAAAAGACAGAAAACATTAAAGGAAATGAGCCGACATGAACGATCGCATGTTAAATTAGTTATTGAGGTGGCGACACCTGATTTGATAATGTTACTGTGGCCGTGCTCAGGACGCAGATGTCTGGAGCGCGTCAACAATCAGAGCTTTGCATGCGCAAGCTGGTTAAGGCTAGGATGGGGTGAGGGGAAGGTTAAATTGCAAGAGGGAGAAGGTCACAATTTGGTTAAATGTCCGTTTTACGGCGGGTGTCAGTACCGACGACGCTCTGGCACAGCGCGTTGCCCCCCCCCCCCCCCCCCACCCCCCCACCCCCACCCCGGACACGCAGGAGCTTGTCACCTGCTGATAGCAGGCTGCTGTCTTTTCCGAGGGCTGCATCTTGCTGGTCATTATCACGTGACAGCGACTAGTCGATGACAGGCATAAAAAGTCACTATAGAGCGGTGAAGTCGACTAGTGGTTCATACAACCCCTACTACTCCCCAGTGTTCTGCAGCATAATCAGCAAGTTCGCTTTGAACTTGATATCAAATTTTCGCTTCCTCTTCGTCTCCACACCTGCCAAATCGCGGTCTGTCACTGGCAAATCAAAAGTGAGACGGATGACACAACCGTCCCCCCTGTGGTACTTGCTTGTTACCACATTCCACCTGGCCACAATAAAAAACCGGCCATTATTCACCTCCGCCGACTCCGGCCAAAATATGATACCCGGCCGTTAATTGAATACAGGCCAATATTAGAGGATTTACGGTAATGTTCGTTTCACAGACCATACTAATACACTTTTCATGAAGTCTAAAATCTTAAAACTTGAAGATCTAGTTAACCTAAAGTCAATGCTAATTTTGTACAAAGCAAGACACAATCAATTACCAATCAATATTCAACAGCTGTTTTTTGATAGAGAGGGTGGATACGATTAGCGGGGATCAAATAATTTCAAGGTGGTATGTGTCTGCAAAACCCTCAAACTCACTGCATATCCAGAAGAGGCATTGAGCTTTGGAATGGTTTAGATGACAACTTACAGGGTGCTGATAGTCTACTACTATTTAAAAGACAATATAAGATGACTGCTATTGAGAAATATGTTGAGAATATGTGATGGAAAAGCTTCTTGGTTTTATTCTGACTATGTGTTGTTATATAAAAGAACAGGACAACATATAAAATTGAATAACAAAATATGCATGAAAGGTTCATTAACAAAACATTTACTGTCAAAAAGTCTAATATTGTAAATAGTATAATATTGTAATGTGGGGTAGGTGCACATAAGCTTCTTTGCTTCAGCCTACTCCATTTGAGCATTGTTGTTGTAATGTTGTGAAATTTGAAAGAATACAACAAATGTAACTGCCCAATGAATGTGCTAAATAAATAAATAAGTATTGAAGTTGAATAGAAGTAATTTCTGTTCCATTTTGAAAGTGAAATAAATTCATGGTTTTGGAATAACTTTTTCCTGTGCAATCTGCTCCACCAGGAACTTCTTCAGACACTCACCCTTGAGAAATACAGGCATCTAGGAAGGGAGCTTTTTGACAGGGAGCCTGGGCTGGTATTTGATGCCTTCAGAATCAACCAAGTCCAGAGCGGTGCCCCTCCACCTGCTGACCTGCTTGGGATACCACCATGGTGCACATGTGGAAACTGCAGAGACATGCTCACTCTGCTGGAGAGGAAATGTTGTGGCCAGGAAGCAAATAACTGTGTCTGCCTACTGCCACACTTTTCCTTATTTTGTTTAGATGAAGGCAACCTGCAAATTCACAGGCGATACCGGGAGGACCTGATGGTGGTGAGGCCAGCGAGAGAGCCAAGTGATGACAACCGGGAGTACCGCTATGCTGCCTACAGACATTTCATCTTTTGGCAGCATGGTGCTCTCAGGCGTGGAAACCGGTTGGTCATCCCCAGCTGCTGTGTGTGGGCGATCAGGGACAGATATTCAGACCCCTACGGACAGTAGAAAGGTTTTGTCCCTGGTCTCTAAAAAGTTTGTAAATAGTCCTATTTAAATAAATTTTATGTAAATAAATTCTAAGTGTCATGTGAAAAATAAGTTCAATGTAAATAATAAATACAAAGCTTTTATGTCTATTCATTTTCTGTTTTTTGTGTCATTAGAGGAAATGACTAAAAGGCAATAACTTTTTTACCCAGCCCCAATGTAGAACATTTCTATCATGGTGTCCTATCAGGCCTCGCTTTGGAGCATTTACACAGATCAAATTCTTCACAAATGACTAAGCAAATAATGTAAATAATAATTCAGCCATCGTTTCCCAAAAAATATTATATTTTTATTTGTACTCTGAGTGAACCTAGGCACACGTTCACATCCCGAGGTCCCAGTCTCTCTTTGAACCCAAAAGCCATGCAAGGTGAGGTGGGTCAGGTTGGAGGTCAAGGTCACTGCTGTGAGGCTGCTGCTGAAGAACAATGGGGTAGGGAGGAGGAGAGAAAATATTTGTGTTCAAATAGCAGGACAGGAAAAAGGTATAACAATATTTCTAAATCTAGGTTTAAAACTTGTTGGCATACCAACACCTCACTTGACTTGTATACGAAGGAGTTCTTCTACTGGTGGTGGCGATACAGGAGGGAGAAGACCGAGTCTCCTTGGGTTGTCTGGCCGTAGAGTCCTGCGTTTAGGCAGCCCAGCACTTGCAGCCAATCTCTTACAGAGAATGTGGGCCTGAAGAGGTGGAATGTGCTCATGTGGTTTTCGGACCTTCAGAGCGTACACACTCCCATCTCCTGGCTTTTTTCTTGTAAAGCCTCATTGCCCTATAATGTTTACAAAGACAAATACAATTAACCTTATATCAGTCAATGAAATATCTATCAGTAAGTAGATGACTTATGATGCAAGATTAGCCTAGTGCATGGTTTGGTGTCATAAACGTACATAGGCCTGCCATCCACTGTGTGCCTTAAAAGGCGGCCTAGCTGAAGGTTGTAGTCCAGAGCCGCGAGGAGTGTCCTGGCCTCATACACAGGTGGGGAGAAGGAGAACCGCTCGCCAGCATACATCAGGATGTGATTTTGAAAAGCCTCCAGATCTGCAGTTGATCTGTGCAAAAAAACGTTTGTGTATAGAATAAGATTAGAAGAAATACTGACATTTTGTATTATAACACACAACACTTCCAACATTACCTGAAGGTGAGGTATTTATGAATGTTCCTCAACCACCGCTTGTTCACAATTGCATCCTTCAGAGCCTCATGAGCCACTGACCCGATTTCCAACCACTCCTTGGTGGAGCTGTTCTTGAGCTCCTCGTGTTGGCAACGTCCCATCACCCACTCACGCTCACTTGCCACATGGTTGGTGAGACCAAGCCACCATTCCTGATGACAATTTTGAAATTAGAAGAAATTTAAAGCACAGATTTAGAGCTCAGTTACGTTTAAAATAAATGTTTCCTAAAACTATTTTGGAATTGTGTCCTGTAAGTACTGTGTTTACCATGAACTCGACAAATGTTGTTGCTTTTTTGCATGCCCACCAAAAATGATTGATAATGTCACATAACCAATTCAGCAATGCCGACTATCTGGGGATATGTGCTGCCTGGTGAGCAGAAGTAAGCAAATCCAGAAACTACTTATTAGTTCATTCAGAGTTTAATTTTTCACCAGTCGCTTCCTGTGATAAAATACTTACAGCAGATAACCTTTTGGACCCATGCCACATATCAAAACTGTGCAACACTCCTGGGAAATGTCCTTTGTCTGGGTTCAAGAAAAAATATTATTTAGCTCGACAGACATACTTACACTGCCAGTTGTACAAACTGGCAACAGTGCTCATTTACCCATGAGAGATGAGATCTGTGCATGAGCGTCTGTGCACACCTCCACCACCTTCAGCTCTGATAGAAGCTGCGTCATGGACTCGACAAACTCCTTTTTCTCCGTAACAACAGAGTTCTGTGTCCGCCGCTTGTCAGCCGTGACCCATTGAGCAGAATGTTGCAGGCCAACATGGAGTCCCCTGCTTGCATGCCAAAGTTGAGGGTTTGCTGCGAGTTCCATCTCCACATCAAGGGGCCGTTGGCACAGTTCTGGATCATACAAAAAAAAAAAAAAAATAGAATACATGGCATTAAAAAATAGCTTAGTGTAAATCACTTTATGCCCTTCGTTAGTTCTGATACAAATACTAGTTTTTAACATGTAATGGCAGTAGAAGTAATACAGTTTAAATAACTAACCCAGTCCATAATGCAAGTTGTTCCACTTGAGGTGAGGCAATAGAGATGTCATATGGGGGTAAGGACTGGAACTGCATTCCAGTTAGCTCATCCTTGTATGGACAATTTTGGACAGCTAAGATCAGGAATGAAGCCAGCTGTTGCAGCAAGTCTTCATAATAATAATATTGAAGGCACGCCTCCCAATGAGATCTTCCTCACATTGCACAGTTAGTGGTGTTGGGAACGTGGGTGTTGTTTTGCCTGGCAGAGATTGGAGTAATTCACAAACTTAATATTTTGAAGTCTTTAAAAAGTTTTGAATTAAAAGTGTCAAGTCCTCATGTTTGCAGCTTGATACCCTCACCTCTGTTTCTTGGAACACTGAGCAGTGGTTGGTCTGTGTCATCAGGGATGTCATGAACTGTATCCTCTAAATTTATGATGGGTAGATTTTGGATGCACACCTGTGACTTTAATGCTCCACCCGTCCTAGAAATGCATGAATGGGACATAAAATAAATAATTAGAAATCAATAAAAATCACTATTACTTTTGTCGAAGGTGCCGTTACAGTTTTCTCATTCAGGGTTATTAAATGTACATATTTTCTTTTCAATTATTGCAATGTAGCTTTCTAAAGAGTGTGTACTGTACATAATCAAAGCTTGTGCTTATATTGTCCACTGACAGATACTATTTCCTGAAACTAGCTTGTACTCACTGTTTTCAATGCATCTATTGCAAGTAGGAAAGGGTTTTTCATCACATATGTCACATGAACAATGTCCTCATCTGAACTGTCAGTTGGAGCAGAATCCACCTCATCAATTAGTATATAACAGTATAGTAATAGTATTGCCAGAAATACTAGACAATAGAAACTGGAACGGGGTTAGTGGAAAATATTTAGTGCAGAGATACTTTCTGCATTTGGGATGGAAAAACAATGTGGGCACATCTTGCTTCTCATCAACAACTTCAGAGGGAAGTTTTCTCTTTCTATAAGGTTTCATGGTTTATTTACAAAAACAAATCTAATGTATAAAATAATAAAAAGCCTCAGTGAAAAAACGCAGCTGAAAAAAGACAAAACTACAGGTGACCGAACGAGTCCAAAAATACGGCGAAGCAATGTCAAATATGACTAAATATAATCTAAAATTACAAAATAAAAACATAACATAGGAAATTTACTGAAAATAATTTTATTTACACCAGTAGAAGAGATAGAAGTTGAAAATACGCACCCAAAACAATTCCTCCGCTCCTCTATGAGCACGGCACATGGCAGACTGTTTATCTCCCGGTTCTCGGGCAGGGACTTGCGTAACATTACTGTAATGTATGGTATACCACTGGAAAGTACCGTCTCAGCTTTCAGAATCTGTTGATTTCGCAAACTGTCGAAGAGTTACGGTAAAGTATGAAAGCCATTTTGTTTCGCCATCGACACAACCGCAGCACATAGGAAAAATCGGCCATGCGGACGTGGACTGGGTAGACTGCTTCCTTAAAAGATGCAGCCCCAGAATTTGGACACATCCAAACTTGTTTATTGGTGAAGAAAAGAAAACAGATGTGGCTTCTTTTAAATCTTCACTTTTGTTTTTATGATCCATAGAGTTGGAGCTTTTGGTTTCCTGTCGCTTCCAAACAACCACAACATCCGGGGCAATGCTGGCCTACTGGACCAGCGCTTGGCACTCACATGGGTTGCCAAAAATATTGCAGCATTTGGAGGTGATCCTTCAAAGGTATCATACTTTTGTCTCCAAGAATATCTCAAATGGTTTTAATTACTTTTACAAGCCTGTGAATATTCTTGTATTTTGTTTCCAGGTGACTTTATTTGGGGAGAGTGCTGGATCAGCTTCAGTGGGCTTCCACCTTCTTTCTCCAGGTAGCCAAAGCCTTTTTCAAAGGGCTGTGATGCAGAGTGGCTCACCAAATGCACCCTGGGGTACTATGACCCAGAATGAGGCCCTGGACAGGTAGTGCGTGTTTCTTTTCTCTACACCATTGTATAACAAATGCACTGTATATGTCACTTGGATTGTATTAAATGGAGCTCCAGATGGATATAAATCCTTCACTAATCACAATTAGGTGGTTGGAAATCTTAGTTTGATGATCTTCTGTGGCAATTCAAGTAGAATGTTCTGACTGTGATGTATAACTTTGGTTATGTTCCAAAGCCATTCTTGTACTTGCCAGACAGTGGTAGAAATATAGGAAGAGCTTTGGAAGCTGAATCACTGAGCTCAAACAATGAAGACAGGACCAGAGGGTTTGCTTCAATGAAAGCGTTTTAATTTTTGGGCAGTTTTGTACGCATACCCAAACTCAAAATTTGGCAGATGTGCATGCAGTTCATTGGCTTAAATCTTGATTGGTGTAGTCACTTGTAATCAAAAACGAGCTGTTGTCACAAAGTGTGAACAGATTTTTAAAAAATTATTTAAAAACGAAACATGAACTCACACACAAAAATTAAGCAAAAAAAGGTTCAGTGAACTGAAGAAGAGATGACGAACATTGACATTTGTTTTAACAAAAGGAAATAAACATTTCCATACACCGTGGCTCACAAAACACATACAGTATAGTAAGAATAGAGACCATCACAGGGTAGCCAGGCTAGAAGACCAAAACTAGACATAAGCAATGCCGTAGCAAGTTTGAGTGAAACCATTGGTACCACCCATGCATTTCAAGTATGGTACCCCACCTGGGTCACCCCATTTTAAAAGGTCTGGACATGCTACTGGAACAGACAACGGCTTCAAGAATCCAGTAGTCTCACTGAGGCATTTTGCAATTCTCTTGCAGTTATTTACACATATCTGTCCTTGTGTTTAGACAAGATTTAAAAAGGCAACCTTAAGCAAAAGAAAATAAATCAAAAGATATGTACACATGATTTATTTTAATATAGTTGCATATTATTGGAAGATACCTTTTTGCCTAGTGATTCCATTATTTTCAGAAGCAGAAATGTGTATTTGTTTAGTGGTCTGAGGAAGTGATGAATACAGCCAAAGAGAATGGTCCTTGAAGAAAACCTGCTCTAGAATGCAGTGATCTGAGACACGGATGACAGCTCACCTTAATGATCGGAGGAACACAGCCAACACTGGAGTGGCTTGAGGACAAGTCTTTTATCATTCTTGAGTGATTCAACTTGAACTACATAGAATAGCTGTGGAGAGACCTAAAGATGGTATTTCAGATACACCCCTCTGTTTAAAAAAGACTTAGGAACTCCAGTTCCTATAAGAAAGGCTTTTAGAGAGAAGTGTAATGAAATATCCTATAATGAGTTATTTCCAATCATTTTTACATTTGAAAACTAGAAAGAAAGAAAACAATCTTTTACATAGCACCTCTCAATATAAAAACCATGAGGCATTTCACAAAACATAAAAATTTTATATATAAAAATATTTAAAAAAATGATTAAAACATTAAAAGATTTGTAAAAAAAATGTGATTAAAATGTAAGGAAGCGGGAGAGAGAAAATTAATAGGAAAGAGGGAAATCAGTGGATTTCTTCATACAAAAAAAATGCTTGTTTTGCAAAGTGAGACTAGTAACTAGTTTACATGGAGATACCTTTGTTGGGGTCCAAATTGATCTAATATTACAATTTTTTAAAGAATAACCATGCAGAAAGCAAAACAGCTGTTTTATGTGATACATTTCAGCTTTAAATTTAATAAAAGTTAAAATTATAATAATGTTGCAACATTTGTTATTCAATCCACTAACTGTCATTTTGTCTACTGTGGATTTCCACATCTTATATTTATTTGTTGCTGGTTTTCCCCCACATTTTTATTACTATTTCACCATCTTTCTGACATACCTTTGTGTTTTTCCCCTCTTGTTTACAAATAGAGCCATGATGCTGGGAAAATTACTTGGATGCTCTACCTCTCATCCTGTTCAGATGGAAGATTGCCTGCAGCAAGCAGATCCTCAAAGGATCTCAGAGAAACAATATGAAGTTCTGACCAAGCCAACAGTCTTAGCTCTACCTTTTCTGCCGGTTGTTGACGGGGACTTCTTACCAGACCAAGTTGAAGTAGGTGTGTGTGTGTGTGTGTGTGTGTGTGTGTGTGTGTGTGTGTGTGTGTGTGTGTGTGTGTGTGTGTGTGTGTGTGTGTGATGATATTTTCTAAATTCCATAGGCCAACTAAGTAATTTTCAAATAAGGTTGCCAGTTTTTTTTTTTTATATCTTATAACTAAATGTTTACTTTTCACAACAGTTTTACTTTTTAAAAACATTTTCTGTCATTTCTATTTGCTTTTTGATTGTAGATTTTTAATGTGCACATTTAATCTGAATTTACATTTACAGTACAACAGTTAATATAGGGATGCACCCAAAATTCGGCCGAAAAAGACTGAAAAGTGCATTTTCGGTTTTGGGCCGACCACCAAAATCACAGAAAAAACATGGCCGAAACAGAATGTCAGTTGAACCCAGTTTTTGTTTCATCCTCGTGACAACTTGCTCTTTACATCATAAAAATTGTACATTTGTACTGATTTCAAAAGTAATGTTTTCCCTTTTTAGTAATGCTGTTACTCCAGTTACAAATGCTGGAATATTCATACCAAGTATGTGACACACTTTTTACTTTCAGTTTCTACTGCACCTGCCCAGTTTTTATTTTATTTTATTTTTTTACATTCTCGCTACGTCTGTCCCTATTAACTGTATTTTTTACCACCCTCTCTACACCCACCATGTCCTGAACATGGTGAATTAAGAGAATCATGTGTGTGTAGAATGTTTTCTCTCATGAAGCACTCATACTGTTTTTGGAGCAATGTCACAAAGACCAGATACAAAAGTCGAGGTGATCGCTCCTTCCAGACTGTTGCACCCCGACTCTGGAATGATCTTCCTTTATCCTTACACAGCACTGACAGTCTGGACACTTTCAAAAAACAGCTAAAGACCCTTTTATTTAAAGCTGCTTTTACCTAAACATTTTATTTTCTTGTTTTTAACTCAAAATTTTCATCTTTCATCTGTTTATGAAAATTTATCATTTTATGACTTAATTTCTTCTGATGTTAATCGAATTCTGTTTTGAGATCATTTTGATTTTATGATGTCAATCTATTTATGATTTTATGATTTTGTTTTATTTTGTTTTGATCTATGTGAAGCACTTTATGATTCTATGTCTGTGATAAGTGCTTTATAAATAACATTTACTTACTTACTTTCTTCCTCACTGGACAAGTGAACATCTTCATAAGAGGGTGAATATTACTCTTCAGAATCAGAGTCAGCCATTACCTATAAATTCCAATAAACCGACCTGTCTGCATTGTAAGTTTCTCCTCTCTAATATATAATAATATCGTTCTCTCTGTGCTCCACTCGTCCCCTCTGCTCCATCGAGAGTCTTCAGATGAGGGGTAGATTTCAAACTCTAACTCCAAATCTTTCATTAGAAACACCCAAAGGTGTTGCTCAGATTGAAGTTACCCATCTCCACTGTCTTCTGGTATAAAATATAACTTTATGAGGGATAATGTTTGCAGCTGTGGCTCGTTAAACGCAATGTTGCAACTCGCACACTTAAAGGGTTAATTTGACATTCCTTCTAATGCTATGTTTCTTGTTATTGGCATTTCTTTCGGTGTTTCAGTCTTGGTTTACTCATTTTCGGTTTCGGCCATGGATTTTCATTTCATTTTAGTTAAATAGTTTGTTTCAAAATTTTGCTAAGCCAAAATAGAGTAATGTTTTTATTTTTTTCCCCAGGTGCTGTTAAATACCACTAACCTCCCCAAAAAGGAGCTGATGCTTGGCTTAGTTAAAAATGAAGGGACCTACTTCCTTGTCTATGGAATGCCTGGTTTCAATATGACTGGTGACAGTCTCATCTCCAGAAATGACTTCCTGGAAGGCATACTGATAGCGATGATCGATGACAGTGATATTTCAAGAGAAACCACCATTTTTCAGTACACTGACTGGAATGATGTTGAAAACAGGACCAAAAATAGAAATTTACTTGGTAATCTGGTTGGGGACCAACTGTTCTTTTGTCCTGTTTTGGAATTTGCTCAAAGGTAAGTGCAAGTCTTAGTTTGGAGATTCAGATAAATCATAGAATCTGTTCTTTAGATTAATCATAAGATTTCAGTACTGTTATTTTACAGTTTAGTCAGCCCGACCCAGGCCAGGTAAAGACAACCCACCTCCACGCGGCTAGGTTGTGTTTACATAGCCTTCACAGCAATGTGGACGTGGGCGAGGACCAGAGGTCGCGTTAACCGAATACTCACACCTCCAAATTAATGCAGGAGCACAGATTGAATTGCAAACGTAACTAAATCAATCACAAACGATTCACGTGAGCGCATCTGAGCTTATCTCACACTTGAACACCAATGTATCTCACTATTAACAGCACAGAGGTTTACACCATGCTGAAGAGCTATGGACAGGAGGCTTTGGAGTGCAAACTAGTACAGCTAAACCACTGGTGCAGAAAAATGCATGCAGGAGGATTTCCTCCCACTGAAGCAAGTGCATTCCAGCCCTAACCCCACCCTAACTCTAACCCCATGAGCTCAGGGTAGTGACCGAAAGATCAAGATCGCGGAAACAAGCGGCCCAAATTTGTTTCCTCCGAAGGGTGGCCGGTAGGGATGAGCAAGTACACCACTATCTGTATCTGTATCTGTTCAGCCATCTAAATTATCTGTATCCACATCTGTACTCGGAGTGGGCATGGCCTAACCCGGAAATGGGTGTAGTTTAACCAATACGTTATTTTAAGTCTGATCAGAAGTTGATATGTGTATTGTTTATTTGAAAACTATTTACAGAGCAGCCTCAGAGTTGAGATTAAGTAGTTTTGAACACAATAGTAAAGGAACTATTACAGAACATGTTTTTCAATAAAATCAGAACATTATTATTTAAAGAGCAAGTCACCCCTACAATAAACTTACTCCACTCCCACTTCATGTTTGAAAAATGCAACAAATGCTGTTGCTTGGCAGACCGAGAGGGCGGAGCCGCTAACAAATACACACACACACAGACTCACAATGGCATTATGACATCATAATATACCAGATGACATCATAGCATACCTCTTAGCCAATAGCGGTGGCAGATTTAAATTCAAATACAGTGCAGAATTTTTCCCTGACGACGGCGCAACACTGACAGTTTTAGGCAGAATATTTGAATTTTAACCAAGATGCACTGAACTGCCAAATTATTGACTACACGTGTCTGTAGCATGATTACACACCCCTTTATATAGTTTATCAGCAAAAAAAAAGTGATTTGGTGGTGACTTGCTCTTTAAGTGCATGCATAGAGAGAGAGAGAGAGAGAGAGAGAGAGAGAGAGAGAGAGAGAGAGAGAGAGAGAGAGAGAGAGAGAGAGAGATCTTTTCTATAGCGCCTCTCAAGATAAAAATCAAGGGGCGCTTCACAAAAACAAAACATGTAAAATAGAAAAAACAATTTAGAAAATGATTAAAATATATTTAAAATGAGCAAAAAATAAGACTATTGTGATTAAAAAATGCAAAGAAAGAGAGAGAGTGAATAGGAAAGAGGGAGTGGATCCTGAGGAAGAGGAGAGAAAAAAACCCGACCGGAGCGGAGATAGTGACTGACGCCGGGGACACACCGGCCGCGGAAGCGCCGCGAAGCGCCGAGAAGCGAATCGCTCACGAAATTCGGCCGCTGCTCACCGCTCCTCAGTTCAGATCAGACGCGCCCCAGTCGAGGCGCGCCTCGGCTCAGCTGTAGTTTTTCTTTTAAACACTTGGTGTCCTCCATTTCCTCTCTGCCTTTTCTCAGCTCTTTTCCTACGTTTGAGTGTTTGTGCGCGTGCGCGCGCGCGCGCGCGTGTGTGTGTGAACCTATGGTATGAGTTGTTTCTGCCAGTTGAATCTCTTGGATCCCGCTCCAATTCTGCAGCTGTATCCTAGCAGTTTCTTCCGACATGGGTACGTAAACAATCATGTTTTTGGGGGGTCGTACAGCTCCTTGTGTTTCTCAACTTCCATAATTAATTTAAAGTCATCCATCCTAACTGCTTGCCTCAGACTTTCTGCCTCTCTGTCCTGTTTGCTCCGGTGAAAAGACACCCAAAACCACTCCCCCCTTCACGTGGTCACACACGCACACAAGTTCGATGTGTGTGTATGTGTGTGCGTGTTCGTGTGGTTTTTCTGCAGTGTCTGTTTACGAACACATTTGACTATTGCGGAATTTTATTTTGAAATGCTTTATTTTGTTAACTTTACCGGCCTGCCTCTTATGTCTACGTTTGACTTCCTGCCAGAGTTGACGCGATTCACCCGCGGCTCGCGAAAAAAATAGAGCCAACGCCGAAATGATCGCTGCACGGCGCGGGCTGGAGCGCCGGCGCGCGCCGGCGCGAGGCGATTCGCGGCGCTTCGGCGGCCCATGTGGTCTATAGAATAGCTTAACAAGGGCGCCGAATGAAGGCGGTCCCATTTTCGCGGCGCTTCCGCGGCCAGTGTGTCCCCGGCCTGACGCAGCACAAGCCGTTTTCAGCTCTGTCTTGTCAAATGCACCACGTACGTTACGAAAAAAGTAACTTTAAATAACTTTAAAGTAACTTTAAAAAGGCGAACTGAAGAAAACCTAGGGAGCACTGAAGAAACGTGAGCAACAGTGAAGCAAGCACAGAGAGATCTGTTGCTGTCTGTGTGTGTGCTTGGATGGACTGGACGCGGACTGAGCTCCCGGTGCAGAGTTTTGTGTGTTGGGAGGGGCGGGCGCTCTATTTGACTGGCCAATCACAGAGCGTGAAGACAGTCAGTTACCCAATGAGGATCTTCCTTCAGCACGATTACAGATATTTACGAGTTTTACTCGTTTCTTGCTCGTACTCGTCAAAAATGCTTTATCTGTACCGAATACTCGTCTGAAACGAGTATCCGGCTCATCCCTAGTGGCTGGGCTCAGTCGTAGAGATGGGGTAAGGAGAGATTGGGGTACTACCAGAAGAGCTGGTGGAGGTGGCCAGGGAGAAGGCTGTCTGAGATGCCCTAGTGGACATGTTGCCCCATGACCCGCACCCAGATAGGCGGAGAAAAACGAACAAACTAACAAATAAATAGTATTGAATGATTATTCATTATCATTTTAAGAATGAAAATGATCATGGCCATTTTTTTTTCCTGTCAGTCAAAATTAGGCACAACAAAAATGTCTAGCGCAACCTCTGGCGAGGACTTTGGCATGCACTGCTAGAGTAGCACGCAGAAGCCTGTGGCGTCCTTTCAAAATGCCACAAGTTGGTAAACAAAAACGGGTGTTAGCATGGTGCTTTTGCAGACTCTGACATTAAGCACACATCTTCATACTCTTCTCTCTGGGCAGCAGTGCTGTTGTGGGCTCCTCATCCATCCAAGGCCCTTGCAGCGCTCTGCAGTCAGAAGATGTTCACCATACTGTATCCAGACAGTCAGTTAATAGCGCATTCAGGAAGCCGCATCTGGCGTATTGTTCCTGTGCCAATCAGAGGCACCCACTAGTAGATGCATGTGAGAGTCCATAGGTGTGTGTATGGTCGGCTTAGCACTAAACAAATCACAGGGTAGCAGGGCCAAAAAAAGTGGTCGGCTCAGCACGAACCATACCAATGCGCTGCCCCTACCAAAGCCAGACCAAGCTAAGCATAGTGTTAAAAGGGGGGTGGGGGGGTGTTACATAGTGATGGTATAAACAAATTGCTACAGAAATTGGTATTAGAATGCTTCCTGCTTATCTCATTAAATTAGATGCTCTAAACACCAGGTTTTTTTTCATGATAAATGAAAGCCTATTGAAGAAAAAAGTTAGTGGTATCTATTCATTTACCTTATAGAGGAAGAAGTGGTGTATTTTGTTCTGTTAATGGAGCAAGATCTGTTGAACTGTAACAAATATTTTCATACCATGTATGGCATTTCTTAGGTACTCCCAACATGGTGGTAAGACCTACATGTATTTATTTGACCACCAGTCGTCCGTTAATCCTTGGCCAGAGTGGATGGGTGTGATGCATGGATACGAGATAGAATTCATCTTTGGAATGCCCCTGAAGTCATCTTTAGGATACACCAAGAGTGAAATCGCCATGTCCAAGAAGTTTATGAAACACTGGGCCAACTTTGCTCGCCACGGGTAGGCTAATCATCCGTTGAATCAGTTTCATTTTTCAGCGTTACAAAGACCTTTGTGACTTATGCATGTTTTCTTTTCAGGAAACCAGATATTGAAGGAGTTGCCTGGCCAGCGTTTTCTGCCGAAAATCAGGTGTACATAACTCTGAATTCTAACTATCCAGAACAAAAAAGGAGGATGAAAGCTAAAGAGTGTCAATTCTGGAACAAATTACTGCCTCAAATACAGAAGATGTCCTCAGGTTACTTCATCTCTCTCTCTCTCTCACTCACACTCACACACACACACACACACACTCACACACACACACACACACACACACACACACACACACACACACACACACACACACACACACACACAGACACACACTTAAAGAGCAAGTCACCCCCAAACAACTTTTTTGCTGATAAACTATATAAATGAGTGTCTAATCATGCTGAGGACACATGTAGTCAATACTTTGGTACTTTAGTGCATTTCAGTAAAAATTTAAATATTCTGCCTAAAACTGTCAGTGTTCTGCCCTATTCAGGTCAAAACTCTGCAGTGCATTTGAATTTAAATCTGCCATTGCTATTGATTATTAAGTACACTATGATGTTAACTGGTACATTATGATGTCACAATGTCATTGTGAGCCTGTGTGTGTGTGTGTGTGTGTGTGTGTGTGTGTGCGTGCGTGCGTGCGTGCGTGTGTGTGTGTGTGTGTTTGTGTTTGTATTTGTTAGCAGTGCTGCCCTCTCGGTCTGCCAAGCAACAGCATTCGTTGCAATTTTCATACAGGGAGTTGGAATGGAGAAAGGCTCTGGTAGGGGGTGACTTGCTCTTTAAAGCTAGTATTTCACTGAGTTATCTGGTGATGTAAAACTGCAAAACATTGTAATTTTGGGCTGGAACTGCACTAATATGGCACGTAAATTTGAAAGCAACTTACGCAAGGAAAAAATAACACGTGAAAATTCTAAGTAATTCTGGAAACTACTTCAAATCCTTCAGTTTTTTTTTTGTTTTTTGTTAGTTGTAGCTCAGTTAAATCCTAGTCAACACAGCAAAAGGGAGTAAACATGTTTTATTTGCACTAAAGAAAATGGTGAGCCCAAAAAAAAAGACTCATATCACATAAACAGCACAAGATTCTTGTGCACAATGGAGATCCCTGGTGCTCATGAGCAGAAATTGTATTTCAATTATTTCTGTTAGCATTAGAAATATTGCTCCTCAGTATGAGATCATTGAGTTTTTCTTTACAAATTGAAAGAAATATTAATAATATTAAAATTATATTTTTAGAAGAATTAAAGCTATCCAAAGCTATCTGGTCCACTCTGTAAATGTAATTAATCATCTAAATAAATCAATTGTGATGTTTGTATCAGCAGTTAATTTAATTTAAGTGATAATTTATAAAAAATAATATTGCTATAACAATCTTTTTTTTCCCCACAGACATGCTGACCTGTTTGAATGCAAGTGAGAATACACACCACACCAATTACTTGTTCCTTGTTATTTTACTGGTTATTAGTTTAATCTCCTGAGGTCAACTGTTTATGTAGAAAAGTGGTGGAAACTGGTAAACTGCTTACCACAGCGTTAGTTGTAGTTTCACAGAATTCTCTACCTATAAATGTGAGAATGTAACAGATTGTAAATGCAACTTGCATGTTTGAATGAATTTTGTATTTTTAAGTCCAAAAAAAAAAAAGAAAACATTGTTAGCTGACATCTAATATTCAGTAATACATAACTTTGAATCTATTTCTACAAGTAAATATGCTGAGTTACAGTGTAAACTCTGTAGCCATTTTCCTCATTTACCACATTGACCTTGATGTTCCTCCCTAATAACGCACACTGGTGAAACGGAGGAGGCGTATTCTATACAACGCTAAAAATACAGTGGAATTACAAGGATTGTATTGCTTTCTACATTGGTGAAAATTATAACAAAATTAATGCACCCACATGGCATGTGGAATGATTCCTGTTTGTCTTTTTCAGTGCAGATGTAAAAATCTGTTTGTCAATTATATAAAAACAAATTTTGAATATATTTTTCCAGTTCTTCCAGTTTTTCCAGTTTGAGCTGTGTAGCTATTCTTTTACTTTTTATCTAGTTTTACTGAGCTTTTATTAGTTGATCATGTAGTTATTGTTTTACTTTCAACCTGTCATTTTACTCATGGTTTTATTATTTGTATTGTCTACATTTTATCTATTCTTTTTGGATGTGTTTTATGTCATATTGTTATTTACAGCACTTTGGGTTGGGTGAGCAACAGTAAGTGTGCTATATAAATGAAGCGAACCTTGACCTATACCTGAGGCACAACCTTTATTTGTAGCTTTCAATGGGACTAAATGTTCATTTATCATAAAAATTAAATCTAAAGCATCTATTTTAGTGGATCCAAAAGGTTTATTGGTCACATGCTCAGTCATGCAAGTACAACTTGTAGTGGAATCCTGAGCCGACCCATTGACTGCAACATTCAATACAAATACATGTAGAATTGACAATATGCTAGACTATAAATACAAACAATATATGTGCAAGCAATGATTGAAGGGTGGAAGTGTAAGTGCGTAGGGAAACTTACAAATCAGGAATTTACAGATAAATTTAAAAAAAAATGTTCAGGATTTGGTGCAGCTTTCAGCTGCTCTGATCATTTTCTGCAGGACTTTATGATCTTGTATGATGCTGTTGCCAAACCAAGATGTGATGCTCATGGTCAGGATGTTTTCCACAGCGGCTGTCCACCATCAATGGAGAGAGGGGATTAGGAGCACTGTCTCCTCCTGAAGTCTACTTCCATTACTCTGGTTTTGTTGATGGTCTGCTGGAGGTTGTTACCATCTCTCCAGTGTCTTCACTTCATTTCTGTAGGCTGACTCATCATTATCGGAGATGAGACCAAGCACTACAGTGTCATCAGCAAATTTGATGATGGAGTTGGAGCTGTGGGAAGAGTACAGTCGGAGGTATAGAGTACAGCGGGGGGCTCAAATTACATCACTATAGAACACCAGGACTGAGGGTGATTATGGTGAACACACAGTTGCCCAGCCTAACTACAAAGCTGGAAGTTGAGTCCTAGGTTCAGAAATTTGTTGGCCAAACTGGTTGGGATCACAGCGTTAAAAGCTGAACGATAGTCAATGAACAGCAATCTAACAGTTTCTATTCTTAATGTCCACGTGGATGAGGGTGGTCTGTAGGATGTAGGAGATGGGTGTCATCAGGAAATCCGTTTGGGCAATAAGCAAATTGTAAAAGATCGATGGAGCTGGAGATGGTGTTACAGATGGAGTTCTTCATCAGCCCTTCAAACACCTTCATGACTAATGATGTTAGACCCACAGGGTGGTAGTGCTTTAAGCTGGAGGGCTTGTTGTGTTTTGTTACTGGCACTATTTGAGGCACAGGAGCATGGGAGCATGAGGGAGTAAACACACCACTTAGCTGATTTGCGCAGGTTCTTAGGAGCCATCCAGAGATGCGACCAGGATCAGCTGCTCTTCTAATACTCACACACTTCAGCTTCCCCCAAATCTCCTGCTCAGTGACAGTGACCGCTTTGATTTTCAGGTTTAACATACGCAGCTGTATCACATGTAGCAATTCTGTGTCAATTGAACTTCAATGTGATCCATTTTTTATTTTCAATTTTGGGCCTTCAACTAGCCTTCAATAGTTGCATCTTATGGAGATATGGCCTAAAAAATGTAAAAGAAGAGATTATAACAGATCCTGTAGCAAACATTAGTTTCAAGGGCTTCTACAGATTCAGCAGCTAGAGAGTTACACAGAGACTCATAGGTCAAGACTCAAAAAGCATAGAATCATTGCGGATCTGCAAATTATTTTGGGCTGGATGTGCTAAAGTGTTTCAAAGCATATTAAAGCACACGTGTGTTCTGGCTTTCCTCAATGATGCCTCACTCTTGCCAACACGTCAGCTTACCGTGTTACTCTTCTCAAACTAAATGACAGTGAAGTGACAATGAACAGCATAAACAAGCAAAGGTCAGCTTTTTGACCTAAGAGCTAATAATGAGATGCGGGGGAAATGTATGAGTTAAATGAGCTGGAATTCTTAAAAAATGCTCGGGGACATACGTTTCTATTGTTAGCATCCCTGTGTATTGAGTGCCTGTGTGGGTGTATTTAAAATTAACAACTTTTTTTATTAGATAACTTGATTTTATTAGAAGAAACAATGTGTTTCAGATAGAAAACAAATTAAATTGAATTCCCATGGCACACCAAGTATTCAACAGAACCCTCGTTAGTAACAGTACTGTCCAGCAGGCAACAAAAAGCAGACTATTTTTAAATAGATGCTGCACGAGTTGGCCTAGCAATAGTTCAGATGACTCAGCCATTCTCAAGGTCTTCAAGGAATTAAAGAAGGTGGTTTCTTTTTCTCCCCCAACAAAGCCTCAGAGGAACATCTAGTTCTTTGTGAAATGCAGTCCTATTTGCTACCTACTAAAGCACAAGCTAGTTTTTCTGGACATATTACAGCAAACTTTGCAACAACCTGAACACCACCAACAAGGTGGAACAAATGAGATAAAGTAAAAGCTGGCCTGATGAATAGATGCAGCTAATCTGAGAGTTTTGGACCCATGTGAAAATGATAACTGCACCACTATGCGATGGATAAAAATAAACTATATAGTTTTTCTCTCCAGTTCATGGAAATCAGCATGGACATAATCATTTAAATTAAAGAAAGGGGTTTGATGGCGACTGCCTACCTCAGAAGCACATTTTGTGACACTTAGAATGTATTTGAAGTTGAATTTATTCATTTGAATGGGAGAGTGCATAGTAATGAACGTACAAGACGTAAATATACCAGAATTAGCAACGCTAGTTTCCATCTGTAGTCCCATGTACATAAAGCACAGACATTACAATTTAAAACAAGGTAAAAAAAAAAAAAAAAAAAAATTTAAAACAAGGATAGCTAAAATGTCATAACTCCTTATATTCCCCATACGTGCTAAAAAAAGAATCATATTCAGACATGAGGCAAATCATTAGATTTCAAGGATTAAACCATGATTAATGTTTGCATTGACAATTTCGAAGTAGCCATGTTATCAACTGACTTTTGAAAGTATGGAATGAAGGTCTGTCTCTTACATTAACTGGCAACTTATTCCACTCACTGCATCCCTTAATTGATAAAGAATTTGTTGCAAATGTAGTTTTCCTAAATTAACCTGCCCCCGTGAGGTCAATCGGGTATCTCTAGTACTTTTTTGCCTTTTAAAGTATTCCAATACGGGTGCTGGTGCGTTGCCTCTCAGCGATTTGTAAATAAGACAGAAGTTTTTAAAAGTCATAAAATCATTAAAGGCTAAGAAGTGATGTTTTTCTAAAATCTTGCAAATGCAAGCCCAACCAGCCATTCCTCCCCATCCCCCGCATATTTTTCTCCTCCTGCTCCCTCACATCATCAAACAAACATGCACATAGGACCTTGGGGGGTGGACAAGTCAGGGAGTGCGGGTATGGACCCCATCCCTGCATTCCTGTGGCAACCTGCCCCCCAATTTTATTTGCACCTTATACACTTCCACCAATGACATTCCACGCAAACACACACTTAGGGCCTTGGGAGTGAGCACATTCAACGGCACTTGGCAGGGGGATTTCTCAGCCTCCTCCCGAGTGCCGGTGCCCACTTCCAATTTTAAACTGCACTTAGACACCTAGGGCTGTAGGTGCAAATGGGGTGGTGCGGTGGCATCCGCTGGCATAGGCCAGACAATGCCCGCACTGTCCGCTCACCACAGCCATGGAATACACCTCATAAACACACAACACTACAATGGAGCAGGCGGAGGGAGACTAGGGGTCTTAGCACACCTCTGTTGTTGCTTGGCTTCCTGGGGCTGGAGGCTAGGAGGGAGATCTGGCCGTCTGGTTGGGGTCTGGGGTGGTGGGTTGCTGTGCTCAGTGTTGGGCGGGGGAGCCTGCTCATCAGCACCCCAGCAGTAAGGGTCAAACTCTGGTAATCGGTGATGGTTGTACCCAATGTGCAGCAGTACCGGGACCAGAGTGAATAGGGTGTGTATGGGGAGCATGAGTGGGTGTCCGGCATGCATTTTTGTAAGTCTTTGGTTGTATGTGCATGTGGGAGCATGAGGGAGGGAGTGTGTGACTGTGTTTGTGTATGACTGTTTATGTCAGGTGGGGCCATTGACTCCTCCCCTCTCCTGGGACGTCTTTTGATGATATAGATCTTCATCTCCCCTCCCCCTGCCACACCTGGTGTGGGGTGTGGTGCCTTGGTCTGCCTGAGTGTCCGTGGCTCCCGGGTCAGGGGGATTAAGATTTTTGGCGTCTGCTTGATCAATCCCGGTGGCTGCCTGGTGGGGTTTGGGTCCCTGGGCTCTGCTGGGTCCCCGGCGGGGGTGGTCACCCCTGGGTCCCGGGTCGCTGGGTCCCGGGCTCGGACGGCAAGGGGGCCTGTGGGCTTGCCGCTGATATCTCCCGGGACTCTGCCGGCTGCTGGTTGTGGCCCCCAGGGGCGATCCTCTGTGCCTCTCGAGGGGGGCGGGGGCCTTTCTGGTTGCAGTCTCCTTGGGGTTCCTGTGTTCTGGGGCAGCGCCTGGATCTCTGGGACTTGGAGCTCCCCCCGTCTCCTACGCATCTTTGGGGGGCAGATCTGTGGTCCCTCACAATCTCTATTGGACACTCCTATAGAGAAACCTTACATAAACAAGCTCGTGTACACACACAGGTGCTCACATGGTGCTCTCAAAAGTATGGGCTTGGGCACGTTCACCACATGTCTTAAGGCTGTCGCTGCCACTAAATGCACTGTGATTTATTATCGTGTGATTGTTCAGTTAAACAATGTTGATTTTATATTTCATCTTCAGGTTGACGCAGTGATAGCTTGCTCCTGATGTATTGTTGTGTGTCCCATTTTTTTCTGCTGTTTCTCTTTCTGCAGGTCTAGAAGCAGACTCTTGTTGATTATTGTTTATTTTTGTGGAACCCCCACCCCCTTCCCCCTCTCTTCCC